CTTGACTATTACTTTTTCTCTTGAGGTTCTATTTAAACTCTCCTCTTCATTCTCAATTATCTTCATCAGTCTAGATCTAGAATATTCTTGCCTTTGCTTTGAGTTCCAAAAAGACAATGCCTTGCATCTTACTCATTTTCTAATGCATTCACCTCTGCATTATCCTGGAACTCTATTCTGTTCATCCCATAGGGCAGATCTTGTCTGAGCCACTGCCGTTCCTTGCCTATAACCACATGGGCCTGTTGGATGCTGCAGATGGGTGTATGCATCCATCTTTTATCTAGGCGTCTTGGTGATATCCTTATCGCCTTACATCTCTTCTTGAACTTTCTCGGAATAGGCCAAGTGTTTGTGTTAAATTCTTCAATTTGAAGTCATCCTAACTGAAGTGCCTTTGTCTAAGTTAACTAAAGGTCACTTAATCTTCCAGTGACTTCTCTGGTGGTGGCTGAGTGCTGCTAGCCCCTAGAATAATCAATATCATAAAGAGAACACCAGACATTTACAGATTTGTTCACCTGAACCCAACAATGTCACTTGTGGGCAAGAGAGCAAATGCTGGAAAAGAGTGTAGAGAACATTGAATTTTAGGAGCTTTAGCAACAAAGGAGAAAAGTTTATGCCCCTACATAATTAAGGGAAGAAGATCATGTCTGAAAAAAGAAGACGCTAGAGAGATTCTGCAATTGACATAAGGAGTTAAAACCTCTCTTACATGAGGACTGGCTGACAGTTTTTTAATATACCTAAAGAAAATCCTAGCCATCCCTATATCCAAAATTCTCCTTCCTTATTTTGGGCTTTATTTTTAGTCGCTGCATCGATTTGCCTATTTCTACCAAAATATATCCACACCGCTCATGGCCTTCCCATTAATTTTCCAGGATTTTCATCATGTGAAAATTATTTTTAAAAAATCTACCAAAAGCTTCCTCACTTCCTTATCCATAGGGAAGGGATAGCAATGGATGCTGTACATATCCACAAATATTGATTGTGTGACTAGTAAATATTAGCATTGGTAGTTGACATTTTTGATACTTGCTTCATACCAGGCATTGTACTAAATGTTTTGAATACACTACTTCATTTGATCCTTCCAACTGTCCTATGTAAGAGACACTTCTAGTTTAAAGGCAAAGAAAGAGAGGCTTAGAGAGAATCAGTGCTATGCTTACAGTGGCTGAGCCAATAAGTGGCTGAGCCAGGATTTGAACTCAATACATCTGGATTCAAAATCCACGCTCCTAGTTGTTCCACTCCATGTCTTCTCTCTAAGCCAAGAATGATGTAGACAATCTAGGAGAGCTGAAAGAAATAGAAAACCAGTCACTGGCCTAAAGTTCTCATAAGGTATATGGAGTTAGTCTGCTCAGCAGGGACAGTGTTGGACCCATTTATGCCTGATGCCAAAGGGTAGAACAGGTAACATAAGCCTGTCACATTGTATTATAATGGGAGGGGTCTTCAATTTAAGGACACCAGATAGTCTTTGGAAGTCATTTTTAGCCCCAAACTTGCCTGCCATATCCATACTCAGCAGAGAGTGCTGGGGACACAGCTAAGAATCAGGAGGCCATGTTGGTAAGGCCTTGGGCTGTGATGATTGAACTTGAATCTTTTCCTGATTGAGAGTTTTCATTCCATCTCTCTAATGCCAACATTTGAAGTCATCTCTTCTGGCAAAATAAGTGATTGTTTCTAAAATTAATTTCCCAGTTGCTAGTTTAACTAATGAAGAGAGCATTTCCCAGTTTCATCCTCCTCTAGTGCAGTGGATTAGGATCCCTGGATTCCACGTGCCAGGGCTTTCCTGTGCAGAACTGGGAGCTCTGTTTTAGGTAGAGAGAGGTAAAATTCACCCAAAAATCCCTGCACCAAATAATGGTGTGGGGAGCAAGACAACCAGGACCAGACACTACTTAGCCCTGTCCGTTTATCAACCTCTGCTGTGATGAGCGGAGTAGATATCATCAAATGGAATGAGAGGCTGCATTTGCCTCCTCCCATCAGAGGAAAGGCACCTGAATTTCTATTCTTTCCAAGGTCACTGAGGGAATCTGGGTCAGCCTTGCCATTTCAAACCACAATGTTCCCATATTCAGACCTCTAAGAAAGAAACAATGCTAATCAATTCTGTTCATCTTTAACACAACTCTACACGAAGTGGGAACAAAAAGGTGGAACCCTGTTCTTAGGGTCCCTGCATAGGACAGCGAAGACCTTTAATGGAGAGATGTCTTTGGGCACCCACCATGGCTTGTCAGTTGCAGACGCTAATGGAATCGGGTTTGGCGACTGAAGGGGAAAATGGGATATGAAAGCAAAACGAAGTAGGCTTGTGAGGCAAGATGTCATTTCTAAATGAAGGTTTCATGCAAAGGAGTTGAGTCTCTTCACAGCTGAAAATGGAATCTTTAAATAAGATAAAATAAAAGGATGCTTTGGTTTGTTGCAGGTTCTGTAATGAAATACAGTTTTCCTAATACTGTGTGACCTGCATTTCTCCCTGTTTTATGGGTGCTCTTCCTTGACGTATGAGCCCATATTTTCTCAAGTCAGCATTTGATGATGGATGTCAAAATATAGGCCATGTATTATGCATATAGCATTACTGATTTAAGGTGTTTACTTGTCGAGTCGAAGAAATTCAAAAACGTCACCTCCACTGAATCTGCACAGCTGTCACTTGCAGTTTTTCATGCTTTTTAATGAAACTTCTGATGAGAACATTTAGTTTTCCCCTTTGCTATTTTAGGGGAAGAAAACAGATAGCATTTAAAATGCATGTTCTTGGTTATGTGGTTGGCTGAAAAACACACATTCCAAAGTTTAGAAAATGGACAGCCTACTGTTACTCAAAATTACCTACCCTGTGCACAGTATGTCAACATAAAGAATAAAATTAACTGCAATCATGGAATGAAGAGAAAATAAAACCTTTTCTTTCTTGCTGGAAGTATGGCATTCAATAGTATGAAATTTATACACAGGAGACCAAAAATAGGGAAACCCTTTTATATTTTTCTGGCATTTCATGCATTATGCACCTCCAAAACAACAGGCAATTATTAAGCACCTGTCATTTCATTCCTGATAGAGTCTCACACATATCATAAGGACAGAATCAACCTAACCTTGTCACATTACTGGAAACTAAGTCAGGAATCTGGTCACACAATGTATTTGTAATCTTTCCTTGGAAACTTAGCTGGTGACTTTGTATAAGTCCCTGATTCACTGATCGACCCACACAGCCATCCACCAAGGGTGAAGAAGAGAAACAAAAACAAATGTGCATGTCCATCTGCCTGTCTTCTAAGGTGGGGGAGCAAATTGGGCCTTACAACTAAAATGAGGCTGGTGGTACCATATGTCATGTACTTCACTTGGTAAAATTAATTTTCACCAAATGAATATATGAGGCAAATCAATGCTTTGTTTTTATAAGTCTCTATGCATATCCTTAAAGAGGCAGCCTTTCAGCCTACTTGGGAAGATTTCTCACTCTTACTAAACTTGAAGTTGTGGTTGGACCAGCCTGATACTAACAGGTACTTGGGGCTTGGTCTGAAACCTAAAAAAGCCCAAACTGCAAAAAATCACAGACCAAGTAGGTAGGCTGCTTTCCAATTTATTGTGCCCACATATACTTTATGAGGTCTGTGTTAGGCACACTGGGATGTTCAAGAATCTTCTATAAGCAAGTGGAATATGTAGCCAATCACATAGGATGAGTTCAGCGGCAGGTAAAAAAAAACAAAAGCAAAAATCCTCCTCAATTTGGCTTAAACAAAAGAAAATATATATATAAAAATATAACTGTGTTACATATGTATATGTATATATGCATATACACACACATCCATACATATATAAAACCACCCTACCACAGGATTTTTTACCATAAATCTCACACACACACACACATCACTATTATATGTATAAAATATATATATATAAGCTCATTACTATATATTATAATCTCATTTACATATAGTATATATAAATTTCATGTAGTAAGAAATCCTGAGGTCAGCTGGTTGGGCTCTAGGGCTGGTTAGTTAAGGAACTCACAGACAGTTCTATCTTTCCATCATTCAGTTCAGCCAGTAACATTAAGCTGCCTTTGTCCTCAACTGGTGCCCATCCCAGTTGCAAGAGGGCTGTCACGTTCCAGGCACTACAAGCACAAAAGCAAAGTCAAGTGGGTTAAAAGAGAATCTCTTCCTATGTGATGGTTTTTAAAGGCAAGGAAACACTTCCTAAAGCCCCTAAGCAGATTTCCTCCATTTGCTTTAGCCAGAACCTGTCAAAAACCCAAGCTTCAGTCACTCACTGGCAAGAGAATAAGCAATCATAGGTTTAAGATGAAAGTCAGGAAGGGTTAGGTTTTGTGTGGTCATAGGAACAATACAACAAATCTCAGTGTCCTGGAGCAACACAGATTGCTCTTTCACTCAGTCAGAATATTCTGTGGGTCTGGGCTCCTGCCCAGGACTAGAGACCCGCCTTCATTCCCGTAGTTACCCATGTTCCCACAGTTGCCGTGGCCGGGGAAGAGAGGCAGTAGCTCAAATGCTCGAATCTGCAGTGACGCTGTGCAGTGTTCTGATCACTTTTCATGGGCCACAGCAGTTTCTATGTCACATGCCATCTCTAACTTCAAGGAGTTACCATTCTCTGTGTGCCTGCAGGGAGAGGGGAGCAAACGTCTGTGGGGCAGGTCAATGTTTGGTGTAGAGAGAGGTAAATGTTTAGATAGAGGGACTAGTTATTAGGGAACTATCCAAGTGGGTTAGAATTATGTGTAATGGCCTCCTACTTTATCCTTCTAAAAATCAATCTATCAGAGTTTATCCTGGGACTGCTAGTTGTTGACCTGTAAATAATGCGTAAGCTACATTTATTTTTGGATTGTCCATGGGCACAGTTCTCTCATTATTTCCAAATTTTCCACATCTCTGATTTTTCTTGTTCTCTCTCCTTCCCACTAGGGTTCACACCTCCAGGAATGGACAGATCCTCTCCAGATAACAGCCCAGTGCACGGGATGTTACGCCAGCCCTCCATCACGACTGGGGTCAACATCCCCATCATCACTGAACTAGGTAGGGGTGAATATCAGCTTTGAGTGGATATTTGTGTCCTCTTTTCTAACCATAGGCTATGAAGAGGCTGGCCTGTTTCTTAGTTCCGTCGGTATAGTCAGCTCTAGTGGGGTTTGTTTCAGGGGAGGTTGCAGGGTGGCATAGGTAGCAGTATGTCAGATTAGCAAAGGGAAAACTGATCTATTTTTCCTCTGACATGAATGGACAGTTTCCTTCATGCTGGCCACTGTTTCCAAAGGAGCTTGAGATAATGGGTTCGAGATTGGGGCATAAAGTAGGGACGGGGAGGGAAGGAGGAAAGGCATAGTCCGGACTCTTTTTGGTGATTTTTGCTGTAAATAACTTGATGGCTCCTACAATCAGACGCTTCTATTGAGGTACACAGCCTCAGCTGTAAGTCAAACCCATTTTGAGAACTGGGTAGAAGCAATGGGCTAATGTGTAATAATTCTCCATTTAATCTATCCCAGTTGAGCTTCTCAGCCAAAGGCCATTTTCAACGAATGCCATACTGCTCCAAAAAGTGGTGGCATTGTAAGGGCTGTAATCATGGGCCAGTGGAACCCAGCTTTTAAACCAGCCATGGCACTCCCTGCTACCATTTGTGAAGTTGCAAAACTGTTCAGAGACTATTCTCCCCAAGAGTCATACTAACTCCCTATGGCCCTAGGCCCCTTTGCTTTAGAACATTTCCTCTGTTATTCCCTCACTCTTTTCTTTTTCTGTACTTTCCTCCACTCCCTTTCCCCAACCCTTAAATGCTGTATCCAATTAGCTAAACCTGGCAAGTTGCCTTTGGTATCAGTCAATCAGGAAAAAAACAGTGGAACGCACATTCTAATGATAACTGAACTGGGTAAGAAGCACTGTTTCCTCCCCATCAGTATCTCCTTTTGTTCTGCTCTTGGTGTGTCCAACTATCATCAGCTTGTTTTTATTTCACTGGCTGTAACAGAAAGGCTACCCCATGGCACTGCTTTGAATGTGTTTTATTTGTGGCTCTGGTTGGAATTGACTGTCTTGTTCTGGCCTTAATGATTTTTTTCCCCACACAGCATCAGTAAACCTTTGATCACACCCATCTGACCTGGCAGTTGTTTCCAAAGCATCTTTGCTCTAATTCATTTTCTTTGGCTTGGGCCTCTTTTTTTCCTCTTCCGTGTGTCCCCCCCCCTCTCCTACCTTCTCCCTCCTATTCCTCTCCCAACACACTGTCAGTTTGACTGACACGTCTTCACAGCTCTAAGAGGAAGTCAAAGGAGAAATATAAAAATTTTAAGATAAGAAACCTAAGTTGGTGCCTTCCCTCCAGCTGTTTATTTTCCTTTATTCTGACTTATTTGCCTTTCTTCCCTATTAGGCTCTTTCTCAGAAGCTCCGGTTCTGAAAACATAAATGCAGCCAGCTCTTAGGGGACCTTTTCTTACTAAAGCCAGATGTCAAGAAGGGTGCCATGGATGAGGTTAACAGCCACTGGGGTGCATGCTGTACTCTGACCCCCACCCCACTAGTCCAGGGCCCTTTCTGGGAGATTCAGAGTGGACTTATCAGAAAGATGAAGGGCTCTGGTCCAGACTGCATTTGTGAAGCACTTCCATGATTCTCCACGACTTGGTTAATAGTACCAAGAAAGACACCCATCAGCATCAAGTCTCAGAACTGGAATTGATCTTCTAAACAGAGACAGCAAAAGTGCTGCTCAGCAGAGGGGTAGATGGGGCGAGGTGGGGAGCACCTGCCTTCAAATGACTCACAAATGAAACTAACATGCCATTTTCGTGGCCCCAGAATATATTTCAAAATAAGACAGCAGGCCTTTAACCCAATAATCTTGCTGGCGAAGTGTCTAGAAGCTAAGGAATAAATTGTCCACCATTCAGTACCACATTATTGTAGACGTAGCTATTTATCAGGACAAATGCACTCAGGTCAAAGAGTATCACACTAATTTCTGTTTCCAACAGTAGGAGAGGTGTCTTTTTCATGTTTTGAGAAGTTGGCTAAAAGCCTAGGTTTCTGGACTGCTCTTCGCAGAACCTCAGGTTTGTAAGAGACCCAGGGAGCTTTTGAAGCTCAAACCTCAGGCCAGAAAGTTCGTGCAGACATCTCCATCTCAGAGAGCGTCAGCAGCGTTTCATAGCCATCACTGCCAGGAATTTCTTTTTCCACTTGGAATTCATGGGCTTTTTCTTGGTATCCCAAATGTGAGACGATGATTCAAACAATCCATTAGCCTAGTTTAATCTCCTGAAGTCTGTGTCCCTCACCAAATTTCTTCTCTGAGCCCAGAAACCCTTCCATGAGTTCACATCACCCTTACCTTCTGCCTTACCTTAAGTCCTGTTTTTCCAGTGGTCATATCACCTTTGGCATCATACCATCATCCCGACACTTCAGCTCTTTGCTTCCCCACAAATATTTCCTATTTACCAACATGTTCTGAGATGCATTCTGCATTACACCAACCCAGTAAAATGCCTTTCAAAAAACACAGAGGACCTCAAGGTCAAACAAGTTTTTAGACTGTCTTCACCTACTTGGAGAAATCTCATTGATGTTAGTGGGTCAAAGGCTCCTGGAAGTTCCACAAGAAGGAAATTTGTTTAAAGCTATTTAACCTATTTCCCAGTTGTATTTGGCCACATACATTTTAGAGTAATTTTTTAAAATCACCTCTTAGCACCCATATTATTACTGTTCTGTGAAACAGGCTTTGGATAACAGTCTGCTCTCTCTCCGAGACCAGGTATTCTAGAACAATACACAAGATTTTCACTCAGCTTTGGCTTGGACCTTGAGTTCTTTCCCAGTGACTCAAATCCCAAGCTTACTGAGAATCTAGAGTCATCCCTGCTAACTGTGGCCACTCCCCTTCATGTCTAGTACCAACCCGTCCCCATTTTCTTGAAAAGAAGTAACAGGCTCTGCTCCTTCTGGACTGTTGATACACATGCTATCGTGGGCTATTATGCATAATTAAAACCACACTCCTTGGCATGTTATCCTGAGCTCACATCTTCTGACTCACAAAGCAGGAAGGCTAAACTGTGGCCTACAACATGCTTTTGAGTAAAGAGAGGGAAGGGAGGAAAATCTACAACTTAACTCTAGTAGGATACCTGTGCAAGGCCTTATGCACTTGTGAGAGGGTCAGAGGGAATCTGGAAATGTCTATAATGTAGGGAGCGGTGGACAGAACACTGAACTGCAGAAAGGTGGTTCTGCGAGCAACTACCATTTCTCAAGGTGCTCATCAGGCATAATCTATATGACTCTCCCTACAACCCTGTGAGAGCTACTGTCATCTCCCCCATTTTACAGAGAGAGAAACTGAGGTGCAGAAGGATGATGTGCTTTGCCCTGGGGAGTCAGTCCAGAGCCTGGATTTCAAGCCTAGCTGTCAGATCCTGCATTTCTTAGTTTCACCCAGCAGCCTGTAATTTGAGTGCTGCTGAGACAGTAGGGACCCAGATATGATCAACTTTGGAACAACAGAGCAAAGATTTTCCGCCATTAGAATCTTTCTCTAGGGAAACAAGATGATATCATTTAAAAATAACTACAAGTCCAGTCTTTTATCCTATTATCATTTATTCTGCCTCATACAGTTAACAAAGTTAAAAAGAAAAGTTATCCAAAAAGTTACCCCCAGAAAAAATAATTAAAACAATAACTCTAGAAAAGAAAATGAGCAGCTGATACATTTAGCAAGGGATCAGAAAAAGGAAACCTCATCTATTCTTTTCCTAAAAGCACGATAATTATTCCAGAAATCATGAGCACTCATCTCCTCCTCCACCACACACACTTTCCCCCCTGTTACTCGCTATGCAAAACTGATAATTTCTGAAGCCAAGATGGGAATGGAAATTAATTTGTCATTTAATTTTTAATAAGTTGAAGATATCTCAGTGACACAACCTATCAGTCTACACGTGCATGCTGGAGGAGTCCTTGAGGAATCCTCAGATGGAAATGAAATACAGCATCAAATACTGCATCTGCTTGAGCTGAAGCACATCAAAGATTGAGCTGTTTAGAAGGGGAAAGGGAGAATGCGGGTGTCCCCATGCAGCTCAGAGTGCAGAGCAAGTCTTTGTCAGCAAAGCAGCCAGAAGCAGCCAGGAATACATCCCACCTGGGGTTGCTTTTGTATTAAATAGGGCCTGAGGGTGTGGGCCTGGATTCAGGACCAGGGACCCTGGACACTACCCAGGCCCAACCCCTGGCAGGCTGTGAGTTGTGCCTGTGGGTTAATTCCTTGCTATTTGCCTTTGCTGTGTGCCCAGTCTATTGCTTTTCACTCTCAATAAATTGCTTTTTTTTTTTCTTGTGGCTAAACTTACCTTTCCCAGCATGGCTGCTTATGGCTATTCATCCTTGAAATTGTCCATCTCTCAAAGGACTTGGCTACCAAAAAGCGTTTCAGGGTGTTTTTCGGTCATGATTTCAAAACTATACCAAAGGACTACCCAGCACTGTCTGCTGTACTCTAGCAGCCTGCTGTGGAGCAAGCCTACTTGACCTCATTGCCCTCCAGGCCTCAGATATTTGATCAGTCACATAGGAGCAGTCCATTGAGTCCCACCGGCTGCACCCCAAGTCCCATCTACAGCTTCTCCCACGCCTTCTTTCCTTTTCAGTGACTTCAGTGTTTCTAAACCAATAGCCTGCTTTTTCTCTGGCGTTGCTGCCTGTGTGTGGTACTTTGAACTAATTCTTATTTTACACTTCTTCTAGTGAACGATACTAATGTTCAGTTTTTGGACCAAGACGACGACGATGACCCGGACACGGAACTGTACCTCACGCAGCCATTTGCTTGTGGGACGGCGTTCGCCGTCAGTGTCCTGGACTCGCTCATGAGCGCGGTGAGTGGGTGTGGGATACCAGAGTGGAGCACGTCCTCCCTCCAGCATTGTGGGCACGGGGCTGGAGCTGGAGCTGGAGCCACAGGGCAGAGCAAAACCATGCAGAGCCTGCAGCACAGAAGGGGCCACCGACATTAATCAGACGATCACACAAACGAACATTTGATGGTAAATTCTTACAAGAGTGAGGAAGGCAAAGAAGGCTATGAATAAATATAGGTGAGCACTTGACCTCGTCTTGGGATCAGAGCAAGGTTCCACAAAGAAATGGCAGTTATTTTAGTCAAGATCTGAATAGTAAAGAGGGGAGATTTTGTGGGAAAGAGTATTCCTCAAAGAAGGGAAGCAAGTAAAGAGGCCTGGTGGGGGGGAACTAACAATGACAAGGAAGCCAAAGAAGGCGTGAGCAGCTGGACCACAGCGAAGGAAGGAGAGCCCTGGGCAAGTCTGCACTTATAAGATCTTGCGGAACACATGTTCATGGTTTTGATCCCTTTCTGAATAGCAATGAGGAGGCATTGAAGGGCTTTTAGGCTGGCAAGTGATGTGATCAAGTGTATGTTTGAAGGGGTTTGCCTTGGCTGATATGTGGAGCATGACTGCAGAGGCCAGATAGCAGCAGGAAGTCCGTGTGAGAGGCTCTCACAGTTTGGACTAGGGTAGAGCTGACAGAGGCGGAGGGAGACAGATGGATTTGAGTGGTGGTCGCTAGTAAAATTGAGAGGACCTGGGAATAAATTAAATATGAGCAGAAGGTGGGAGAGGACAAAGTGTCAAGGGTGACTCCTAGGTCATGGCCAGTCACTGGGACGGAAGTCACAGAAGTCCTGGGAGAGGACTGGATGTGAGCGCCAGGCCGGTCAGGTCTCTGCTGCAGGAAGGAATAGAGTGGTGGTGAGAGATGTGGGCAGGCTGAGGGATCAAAAGCATCTTCAGTTTGTTTTATAACTTGATATGCATCAAATAATCCAGGCATTGTTTTCTCACTTTTGAGACTAAAAGCAATGAACAATCAAAAAGTAGGTCCCAGGTTAGCAGACCTGTCTTCAGTCGCAGAAGGCAAAAGCGGACATTTGAATGGGTCAGAACCTGGATTGTGAAGCGTTCCCACTGAGGGCCTTTGTTAGATAGAAGAGCCTCTTCATTTTGAAATTCTTAAATCCGTAATTTGTGAACATACACAGACTGGATAAGAGCTGACCTTTAGAGGATCCATGAAAAAGTTTTATTGAACACAATAAAACCATAAACATAGCTCAGAGAGTTTTTATACACCTACATTTCTTAAAGGGCTCAAGAAAGGCTATTCTCCTGAATGTGTTAAACAAGTGATATGCTAATTATGCATTATTCTCATCTATTCACTAAAGCTAGTCCCAGAAGGACCTCTATTTGAGGAAAGAAAAAACATAAAGCTTTTTGCGACTAATTTAGGTTATTCTATATTCCTAAAGGTGGTCCAACTGCAAGCGTATCTTAGTTAAAAATCAGAATTACGGATTTAAAACTAATTATGAAACAACATCCGTCTGAATTAAGGTTGACTGGGCTTCATGCCACACCACTGCTTTCTAAGCCAAGGAGAGAAAGTGGTCCCTAGAGAAGGGCGCTCCTGGTTTCCCAGGGTTCACGGCCTTTCTCTTGACCAGATGATACTGACCCCAACCTTTGTACCTGCTAGTGATACGGGGCTCAGTTTGGGCAAAGTTCTTAAGCAGGCCAGAAGGAAAGACAGAAGCTACAGGAGGTGCCCATTACAGCACCGTCTTCTCTGTAATAGTGCTCACAGTCTTCAAATCCAGCTTCAAACAGATTTCTGTAATTCATCTCTTTAAAAATTCCATTTTACTTTGGATCCTCATTACAGAGATTACAGAAGACTGTTCTCATTAAGGGATGATTAAACTCTTTACATTTTTTTCCCAGGACTGCGAAATACTTACTCTATTAAAAAATTTTTAAATCTAAATATATAGAATTGTTTTTACATATCAGATATTCATTGTATTTCATGCAAGATCAGCTACATAATTGCAAGGCCATATTTTCATGAATTATTAAGAATTTCAAAATGGGGATGGAAGAGCATTTAACTGACAGTGGAGCCCTCCTGTGCAAGGGCCCTGGGGTGACTGCACAGCCACATACCCATGAAGCCAGCCCTTCATACCAATAAACCAATAAAACTGGTGTTAAGCACCCAAGAACTTCACCTCTACACAGCCACAGGGGCACAGAGTGGCCATGGGGTGGCAGTGGAGGGTTCATCTGTATTTGAGTTGCTTGGCTCTCTGTATATATAGTATCATTGAGAGTCAGTTCTTGGAGACTCAGATGAGAAATCTAATTAGTTTGATTTTTTTTTTTAAGCCATCTCTAATCTCCTTTGAAAGATCAACTAAAATGTTTGGGAGAGGATGGTTAAGACATGTATGGATACAATGGTCTGTGAACAGCATTTCTTTTGATTTCCAGTCTGGTGAAAGGGATGTCAGGAACCTAGGAACTGTCATTATAATTATCAGCATCCACATCATTTATTGAGGGGCCAGCACTGTGACACTCTTCAGCTACAGTATCTGATCTTTTGGACAATCATGTGAATACACCTGGATTAAGGGTTGAAGCAAGACAAATTTAACCAATCTACTGATAGTGACTTTTCAAATCATTAATCAGAAATGCCTGTCCAATCACCCCAGGCCTTGATTTCATCATCCAGGGTGAACAAGTTTTACAGTGAGGTCCCAAATTGGGTCTCCTTCAACAGACTTGCCTGCATCTAGACCCTCTGCTACAATGTAACTTGAGACTTCTTTGCATGCCACACCAATGCTCAGTTATGAACACAAAGGAGATTAGTGCAGTGCCAAGGCAGTAACTAGGAAGAGCTAAAAGTGTTGGCAGCAAAATATACTGAGAACGTGAGAGTCCTCCAAGCATCAGGAGCCAGAAGTAAGCTGCCATCTCAGGCATTTGTTTACAGGTAACATCACGACATCCATACACACATGCCTTTTTAGATGTCAGTGATCTCCTTTTTCAAGCACTCCTCCCAAAACTGCCATTTAAACATGTGTCTAAATAGTCCCTGAATATTGTCCTTCATGACACAGCTCCTGCTGCTCACAGCTTCATCTGTTAAAAGTATAATGTTTTGATCCATCACAGGCATTCCTGGAACAGATAGGGATGTCACAGACATGGCCTCATGGTTTTCTCCTGCGAATCAGCAGCAGAAACCTATGATGAGATGGAGTAATTATGCTTATGGGTCTGTGCCCCAAGAAGAAGATCACAACTAAGAAATGTATTTTTCAGCATGATACCAGCTTGCTGCTCCAACACACACATAGCCAAAAAAGATGATAGGCAGCCTCTCTGTATTTAGAGCTGAAACTGACACATGAGTATTCAGATTTATTTTCCACACAGCCATCACTTCCCCCTACCTTCACCCCCAATTTGAATTCCACCTGGACCCTCCCTAGAAAGAAGATAGGGCTTGGACTTGAGCCAGACTGATTGGATGCAGATCCCAGCACTGCCATTCACTGGCTGTGTCATCTCAACCTCACTGTGCCTCAGTTTTCCTGTCTTTGAATGGGGATCATAATAGGACCTACCTTATAGAACTGTTGAGATGATGAGTCAGTTGAAGGTATAAAAGTGATGAGTGCAATGCTTAGGACATGACAGGCTATATATATGTGCTTATTGTTACTAATCAGCACCTTTTTTGGGCACTTACTACACGCCAGGCACCATTTTCCATGCTGAGGATTCAGCAGTGAGGAGGAGGGATGAAGACGCTGCCCTCGTGGTTTCTGAACTTTGGTTCTAGAGGGTGGTGACTATGTACATTATGGTAACTATGTAAAGGAGTACATGAATAATGTCAGATCAGGATGACTGATGTAAAGAACATGAAATAGATTGAATGGGTGTATTGAGGACCTGTTCTAGCCATGGTGGACAGAGTAAAGCTATCTTAGGAGGTAACTTGGAAGCTGACATTGAAAATCAGAACACAGCACCTGTGGCGAGAGTGACTAAGCAGAAGAAAGAGCAAGGGCAAAGGCTGAAAAGTGATTTGAGCTGGGTTTGGTGTGTCTGAGGGAACGTGGAAGACTCTGTGGCTGGAATGTAATGGGTATGGGGCGGGGGATACACACAAGAAGCCATCGGACCGACAAGACCACCCACCACACTGAGAGCATTCTGAGCACAGAAGACCACTTGGTCAAGTTGTAGGGTTAGACAGACACTGCAGTCTTGGTTAGAGGACGCACTCACTGTCTTTGATACCACCAGCATCCTCATTGTGCCACTGTTTCCTGTTCGCACTGGCTGGGAGGACAGCGTGCTGCTGAGTTGACCCCTAAAGTGTAATCCCTGATTATTTTTTTGTCCAATACCCCATCCTAGTGCAGCTCATTTTAGGAGAAAAAAGGAAGAGAAACAGCACAATGCATTGGCATGTGTACTTATCTTGTTTCTGAGAGATGGTCTCTCATGGAAGTCTCAGAAGAGCACACTATTGGGTGACACCCATCCCGCAGACAAGTTCTGCACTTCCCAAAGTTTTTATTTTTAAATGGGATTTGTTGCCAGTATTTTAAAACTATAAAATTCTACTTAAAATATGGGTCTCCAGCTTCCTTGGGTTGGAGTCACAAGGCAGATTCCCAGATCCCCACAAAGAAACAGTTGGTTAGAGCTGAGGAGTTCTCCCTTTAGCGACAGCCTGCGCCATGCCCTGTTACATTCCACCAGGCTTCCTGCACTCCTACTGGTCCCTGTGTGGTCCATCCCACTGAACCAGACTTACCAGCCCTGCTTCGAATTTTGTGAGCCTGCATTATAGCACCTCTGGTCAGACAGCATCCTCACTCTCCTGGCCATTCACTCAGCCTCTAAGTCAGGATGTTGAGCACGTCATGTACATCTTCCTTCAGCCTTTCCCAAGCAGAAGTCCACAACACCAAACCATCTGTATC